GTGACATTTTTTAAAATTCCCCAATAAATAAATAAAATCAGTGATACATTACTACAAGTACGATCCAAAAATAATTCATTGAGCTGATAAAGTAATAATAATTTATTAAGTCAACAACTATTCATTATTTTGCCGATAAGGCAACAACAACAACAATTCACTAATTTTTCGACAAGGCAACAACATTTATGGGGTGTTTGGTGGGGATTAAAATTAGATTCTTAGTGAATTGTGATAGAAGTTTTTGAAATATGTGGTTGAAAAGATGTGGTTAATATTGATTGTTTGATTTTGATTTAGATTAAAATCAGATTTTAATCAGACCCAAACAAGCCCTTAATATTTTGGCGACAAGGCAAAAATAATGAGATGAGGACATTGATTACATCTTCCTTCTAAAATGAAATGAAAACCAAGTAGAGCACACACTATTATCCCAAAATTAAGCTACAACTAGAAAAAAATCTATATTCAGCAAACTGCATATTGCAATGTTCAACAACATTAATAAAAATAACAAAGATGAAAATTACAACGAGCGTATGCATCTTTTAATAATAAAGATGTTCAACAATTAATTTGCAATTTGCTTAAAACAACTTTTCTACCACTTTTTAGTAATAAAACTTTTCTATAGCCTTTTCAATTAATTTACAATTTTCTTAATTTGCTTTCAATTAATTAATAATACTGTTTAATCCTAGAGTTTGGGTACTCATTTTCTTCTTCAGCTGTTTGTTCAGGCTTCACAATTAAGTTTTTTGCAATGGAAAAAATTTGTATTGCTATATTCAATTGCGTTTCTACTGCTCCTCTGTTCAAAAATTTGACTAAAAACAAAATAGTTGCAGTGCTAAAAAGAATGGAGACTAAAAAATGAAAAAAAAAAAAAAGGATAGAATAAAGCTTACAACCTACCTTCACCTTAGAACAGTGGAGAAGAAAATTAAACATATCTCAACAAAAGAGGGCTTGTATGTGCGCTGGGAGATTAGAAGACGACCAAAACAGAGGCAGAAAGAGAGAGAGAGAAACGAGTAGTCGAGCTGAGGCTATAGAGTGATCGAGAGAGACCAGCCTATAGAGGAAGAGAGGGGGATGAATAATAGGTTTGGGTTTGGGCGGATGATATATTTTTTCTTTTAGGTTTTAAATTTGTTTTTGACTCAAGTTGTTATTTAGTGGGTGTTTGGTGGGGATTAAAATTAGATTTTTATTAGATTGTGATAGAAGTTTTTGAAATATGTGGTTGAAAAGCTATAGAACCCATGAAAGATGTGGTTAATATTGACTATTTGACTTTCACTTAGATTAAAATCTGATTTTAATTAGAAGCAAACAGGGCCTTACTTTGGAAAGAGGTTGTGGTTAAAATGAACATGGGCTATGATTAAATGCACGTGCTAATCGAAAAACTCATAGGTTCAGAAAGAAAGCTCAGGCCGCTAAGGAAGGTTAACCCGCTTTATAGACGCCGCAGTTGAAGTTTTAAAAAGAATAGAACTCCTCTTATTTATTNACGTGCTAATCGAAAAACTCATAGGTTCAGAAAGAAAGATCATGCTGCTAAGGAAGGTTAAACTGCTTTATAGAAGTTGCAATTGAAGTTTTAAAAAGAATAGAACTCCTCTTATTTATTGATTGCACTTGATTTTTATTTTAAGAAACAGTGTTCCTTGCTTGTTATTTAACTAGTAGGGGATCGTGCAACGCACGATGACCTTTATAATTCAATAAAAGATTTTGTTATAACAACGTTCTATTTTAGATCATGTAAACATATAGTTATATAGTGTCAATAATGTGAACAATTGGGTTTATAGAATTAAATTAACTATTGTGTAATTTGTTTTCTAACGTAAACAAATTTGCGCACACAAACACACAGTCATGGGAATCCTGGAAAAAGGAAAATTTTAGACTTTCAAATGATGCTCCTACAAAGAAAATCAAACACATAAATCTAAGCATCAAAGAAATGAACTTCGTACACATGTAAAAGTGAACCCTTTTAGATCGGATTAAGCAAAGAATAAATAGTAAACATTGCACCATTCGACCACCGAAAAATACAATTTAAAAGGTCAAAAATAAAAATAAAAGATATGAAAATGAAAATAAACTGTATGACGGCAACGCAACTTTGTTACCGTGTACAAGAAAGTGGTGAAATAAGCACATCTAGGGATTTGATTTTCATCTAAGGAAGCCAAATCGTGGAAAAAAAATGAAGTACACTAAAGGTAAACAGCACGCTAGACACAATATAACCCAAGAAGTCAATTGTAAAGAAAACAATAAAGAAAAATTGTTCATTTTTCTGTTGCGGTTTGTGTTGTCTACAAAGCGGATCTAAAAAATGAAAGAGATAACGACAAAGATGAAAAAATGGACACGAGAAGTAGCAAGGAAGCAAAAGGGTAAAATTGGTAAGGGATAAATACATGACATCGCTGTGATGTCATCAATGACGCGTTATGAACATTATGGGTCTATTTGTTTCGGATTAAAATTAGATTTTAATCCAAATCAAACAATCAAAATTAACCACATCTTTCATAGGTCCCACAATTTTTCAACCACATATTTCAAAAATTTCTATCATAAAATACTAAAATTCTAATTTTAATCTCCATCAAACACTCACTATATTTAAAACAGTGGAGTAAACAATGCAATTCATGTATTCTCTTAGTACAATATAATTTGGAGACATTAATGTGTTGTTCAGCACTATAGTTTACTTGGACGCTATATCTTAATCTTTACGTTTTTTTCAACCACACATTAATGAATTTAGATTAGACATGCATAGCTTTAGCTGGCCTGAATTTGCAAAGTAACTGCCTTAAATTCAAAAAGTAAATTGTTTTCCGGTTCAAACCAGCTGATTTATTCCTAGATCTTTAAAGAAAACTTACTCCTCCTACTCTTTATGCACTTTCATTTAGCAACATAACTTAACCACGTACATAAACAGTGAACACTATATCCACTTTATGAATGCAATAAATATCATTTGGGCTAGAAAGGTTAACATCAATTCCTCAAACACGAGGCTCAACTTCAGGGACGGATCTAGGATTTTTTTGTAGGGGGGTTGAAAGTACTAAACAAAGCCAATGCAATAAAATTTACATGTAGTAAAAAAATTCATTAAAGAACATTA